GTGTTCCTATAGCAGATTAAAAACCTGCTGCAAACACTCCACTTTTCTCTCCATCTACCAGGAAGCACCTGGATGTTTTAGAGCTCCTAACCACTCCTGCTTGAGAGCACATCTGGACATGGTGGCAATTACCCCAAGTCTCTATGCAGTACACAGTAATCACTTGGTATTCAGCCTTGCCTACAGGTAGTCCTTAATGAAAAGAAATAAACCCTGATAATTCAGGAATGATCTCATAAGAAATGGCATCCTTCTCTTATGTGAATTCAGTACCTTGATGTATGTAACCCAAAATTTTGGTAGACTTCTTAATGGCCTATGATACTGCAGACCACTACGCTGTCTATGACTCTCAAATTTCTCAGAGAATTGCTAGATCCAGGTTTTTTCTTCTTCATTATTTTTCCATTTGTCATTACAACTTTTGCTATTTCATAATGCCACCATGTTTCTAGCACCCAATTCCCTTCAGTAATATTTGTCTTAACACACAATCTTAACTTACTACTACATGTGGATGTCATCAATCAATTTATGTTCTCTCAAATCTCTAAGGAAAATAATAAAATACATTAAGAGTTAATCCTAAATCCTGAAGTTCCCCACAAGACAACTTGTCCTATTTAGATTTATCAAATTAAGTTCATCATCATTCTAGTCAAGTGTCAGTTCACATAACAAGTCTCAAACCCAAACACACACGGAAATATTCTACTTGAGTAGAATCTACACTTCTTTTGAGTTCTGAAAACCAACTACCTACCTGTAAATTCATTCAGTGTGGTAACATTCAGGTTATTTGTATCACTCTCAGAATAACTACACCATAGGAATTGATTCACATGGAGAGATGTAACATCAGGCAAGCTGTAATGCAGCTGTAGCCAAACTCTCTTTCCTCCTCGACAGCTACTATTAAGAGGGTAGCAAACACATCCCACGTAACATGATGCAGAAAGGGTCTCATGTTGCAAACTTTCTTCACCCATACTAAAGATCATCACTGCTCTGGCCCTGATGAATTAAGCTTATTTTCCATGTGCTCCCACTAAATATGCAAAAGCTATTTCCAGAGATAGCTAAATGTGGGCAGTAACCACTAGCTAACCATGAGAGAATTGAGCTCAGAACCCTTGAATAAGACAGCTAAAATAGTTAAATTAAACAAAAAATCACAAACAGATCTAAATTCAGAAGAGAAGAAAATACAATCCTTAGAAGCTCTGCAAAAGCTATTCAAGTATCCTATAATCAAGGTCCGATACATACTATAAAGAGAAGCAAGAAAGCAGTAAGAAATTGATGTGGCTAAACCAGAGTTTGGTGCTGTGCTGTGCAGATTGAAATCCTGCTCCTGAAAACGTCTTCTAAAAATAGGGGAAGCCTTAGTGACAAGAATGTTAGAGATCAGCAAAGCAATCATAGCTATCACCAACTATGATCCAGCACAACCTTCAGTGTCAATCTGCCAGGATAAGCTTAGAAAGAAGGTCTTGCATTCATTGTAAGCCACAAAAATTTCTGACGCGCATTAATAAATCCCTTTTCTTCTGAAAGTTTCCTATGTAAATAATTACACGTAGAAGTATTCCTGTATACATGGCACTTGTTAGCCACAAAACTTTGGTTGCTTCTACAATGTTTGGAACTTAACATTATTGGGGGGCAGATTGTTAACTATATACTGAAAAGTGGAATTCTAAAACCTGATGTCTTCTCTGATTCCTTTCTCATAAAAGACTTAGGAAAAAAATCCCAAACAGTTACTTCTTTCTAGCATTGGAAAACTTCAGTGTGATTTGGAGAGGAAAAAGATGATTTAGTGTTTTGGGGAGGGGGTAGAGGGGAGAGTAGATCACACAAGCCAGTGTCAAGCAAGGATCAGTGAGCTGCCTAAGGCATGCATGCAGAATGAATTACGAATTGGGGAACATCCAAACACACCTTCCTCTCATGAAAACTGATCTCAGCCCCAAGGGATGGAGAGGGCATTTACAGTAACACACAGCATTTAGAGCAGTTCGGATTGCTTAGACGGCCCAGTGCCGCGCTCTGAAGTGTATCACCGGCAAAATGCCCTCCAATATCCAGAAAAGACACAAAACCAAGAATTGTTTAAACTATGGATTGCTGCCACAGGACTCCAGTCATGCAGAGCTAATAGATCAGCTGCTGCTACCTTGCTTATTCAAATGCTCAGCTGAGGTTACAGTTTCTCACTATTTTCTTTTTTAAAAGATAGTTATCTTATCATAGGAGCCTAGGATTGTCACGCAACATTTACAAAAGTAAAAATGACATGGGCTGGGGAGAAATGCATCTGGGATAATCAGATACCTTTTTCCAAATCAAAGCATCATTGTTTTCTTTAACACGTCCTACATCTAGGCAACCCACAATTTCCTTAAGCTCTCTGTCTCCCAGGAACCGTTTATTGTAAATGATTTATTGTAATCCTGATTATTGACAACCTCCATTGACTGTAATTTCTTCTCTCTTAAAGAGGATTTGTCAGCAAGTGGTCTGATTTCGCTTTGCTAAAATCTATATTAACAATGCAAAGTGGTTTGTTGGGGTTTTTTTGTTATATATTCTTTCTACAAAATAAAGATAGTGTCTCTAAGAGACATTTTAAAAACAAAAAAATGACATTTAAGGAACAGTAACAGCAAAGATTTTTCATGTTAAGATTTTTTATGTTAATTTGACAGTTTCCACTTATCTGTATTCATCATCTGCTGTGATACATATCAGTGAAAAGTAAAGTTGCAAATGGCTTTTGGAACGAGACATTTGGACTCCAATTAAAAATGAGAAAGTCAGAAGTACACGGCCAGAGGTTTTTCTCTCACAGCAAGATATATCCACAGCATGCCATTTCTAGATAAGGATAACTTGGAGAGGCAGTTAGTACTGAGCTGCTGAAGAATGGTGCTGATCTTAAATGAAAACGGAAAACAGCATTGTGATTGTAGACTTGGGATTTTGCCCCATATGGGAGATCCCTCTGAAGTGGATTCTCGACAAAGGCATTAAATAACCACCACTGAATGCAGATTATCAGCTCAACATTGTTTTAGTACGAGGTTGCTTCTTATTTAATATTCAGTAAAACACTTTCATTATGCAGGGCTGAATTTTTATAGTATTAAAATGGCAGTAAGACTCCTCCTTTCCTACCAGCCTCCATGAGACAGCAAAATGAAATTCATAAACAGAACCTGGTAAAAGTCTTGAAGGGGAGGGACAATAATAATTTTGTTTTCTTGGATCTTTTGAATTGACTGTCCAAATAACCATGATAATTCACTTTGTTTTCAGAAAGGACATCTGATTGCCTTCAGTAAGCAGAGTCAGACTTTTCTGATCTGTTGAATTAACCCTTCAGATAATGCTTTTTTTAATCTGGTTCCGTCACAGATCCTAATGGTAAACATAATCAGAACAGAAAAGCTTCAGGCATTATTAAACTCTGCAATCAGACCTTTTTGACTTACCTATTATTTTCATTAATCTGATTTTCTTGAAATCAAGCTCCTCCTTTTTCTTTATTTATGACCATTTGTCAAATGTGTCTTGCAATGCAAAAGTCTCATTAGGCAGGAATTGTAACTGTACAAAAGCTTTTAATAAAATTCTAATGCTCAAGACCACAAACTAGGCAGCTGGGTTGAAAAATTACAGTATAAAAGAGAAGTCAGGCACAGTTTTGTATAACCTGTAGATAGGTGGGAAACCAGCACTAAGAGGGCAGACAGTGGAACACTTACACACACATATATTTCCTAGTTGTCAGTGTTCCCACCTGCTTCTTTCAAGATGAGCATCAGTTAGAAGCGTTTCTCCTTGCCAGCCTCCACTTAAGCTACTGGAAGAAGAATCTGTGCCTAAGACATTTCTGAACTTTATCTAACATCATTTTTTCTTGATATACTACTATAGGTGTCATACTTGATTTCCAAGCCCCATTGTGCTTTATCCCCTCGGGCAGTGCAGTCTTGCTTATCATAAATATAGATTTCTCTTTGAACTATAAAGGCAAAAAAGGTTTTCCACATTTTTAGGTGATATATCTTTGTTAACCAAACCTAACAAACCCCTTAGTTATTTACCTAACAGCCATTTAAACACATGGCACAGACTTTGCAAATTAACTCTTGAAGTAAAGTGGCTTTTTTCCCCCTGACTTGTACACCTGAAATCTAAACTATGAACACAGGACATCTTTACACAGGTACACGCTTGGTGCAGTGTTATGTGCACGACATCAGAAGAGGATACAAGTTCTTCTTCTGTAGTTTTACTGTGTGGTTACAGTGAACAAGGACTGGGAAAAAACATGGTAGAAAACAAAATACCTGAAGATTACATTTGTTCCTCTCAACCCAAAGAACATCATCAGATATGTCTCATATATCCAAAGATCAAAAACTGTGAACTTGAGAGGAGATACAACTAAAAATATAGGTATGGAATGATGAAGTTATTTACATATCTCTGATACATTTAATCATGCAAAACAGAATGAAAAGGCCAGAGTGGTATTAATAAAAAAGCAAAAGTGAAAATATGCCTGTAGTAACCAGCAGTCTAAGTAATGATAGCAAAAAGCCTTTTATTTTATATAGTCCCACTGAAAGCAATTGGGGTGCATTTATATTACAATCTCTCAATAAAGCAATATTGCTTAATTTGCATAACCCCAAAGCAATACATCCTCATTAACTTATGAACCTATTGAAAACAAAATGATGACTTATTTTTATAAAAATTGTGTGGTAAATCCATATAAACTCTGTAGCACATCTTCACTGTAATTGCACCTACAGAACATTTCTTTAAGAGCTAAAAAAATTCAACTGTATTAGGAATTCTTCAGGATGGGTTATTGTCCAGCTGCATATCTAACACTGTCTAGTCATCTGCATGTAAACAAGATGGTTTCTTTTACAGTTTAAATTTTAGAAAACATTTATTGTAATTTGATTTTGTCATAACAGGATTTCTACTTGACGTGGATTTGGTAATGGTTTCACTACTCCAAGATCAATCTAATATTAAATTTTCTTCTTCGGACACTCTGGAAAGGGACCAACAAGACCTCATGAAGACACAGGGGGATTCAGTATCCCCAGTTCAGCAAACTGTGAGTAAGATGGCCCAGTTCTGTTCTCTTTCTTGAGAGGCACAAGACACAATATTCGGCAATTGTTGCTCTAAATCTCAGCATACTTAACTGGTGACAAAGTACATATTGAAAGTTTTATTCTTGAAGAGTAGAAACCTGAGTTATTCTTCTGAGCTAATCTTAAGATCCATGCTAAATTTCCTATTTGATTGCTTAAAAATTCTATTACTTTAAAAACAAAACAGGCAATCAATCTAGCTACGAAACCAGAAAAAATGCTACATTTAAAGCAATTCTCATCCTGTTTCTAAATAAATAAGTGAAAAAGCAGACAAACAGAGAGACATCAGAACCTTTCTTTCTAGTCACTGCCAGCAGACGATATCTTCAAGCACTTCAGAATTCCTTGGGACTTTTTTGGTATAAAATTATCTCTTTCCTGTTGCCTGTATACTCATCATGCTTACCTTTGATAACAAAAGTACAACTGAGAATAATGTTTTTCACCAAACAGCAGCAAAATAATCATTGTCACACTTTTATGAAAATTTCAGGTGGGGAATTGACAGCACTGCCATTCATACAGGTCTATATAACTAAATATAGAAGTTTTTTTAAATTCTTATTTAACAAAAGATAGAATAAACAGATGTATTAGGACTATAAAGGAGAACGAGGAAGTAAGAATTAAGAAGTTACAAACTGAGCAAGTTTGTGTTTATGTGAGAAGCCAAAAGTGTCATGAGGTCAGATTTGCTTTCTGCAGGAATCCATGACAGAACAAAATATTAATAGCTTTGACACACAGACCCATGTACAAATGAATGAAAAAGCTGTGCTGTGTTCCACTCTGCAGAAAGCACTGGCTTTTATGCTAACTTCCCTTTGGGGCTTCTTGGAAACTGGTTCTTCCACAAAGGTACATATTCCTTCACCTGTTCTCCTAAAGGACTGTAAGACCAACTTGGATTTGGAGAGGGAAGGAAGAAAGGGACCACTTGATAATCTGGTCTGACTTTTTGTGTAACACTGAACATTACATCTTCCCCTTCACTGAACACAATAACCTGCTCTTGACTTAAGCATGTCTTCTCAGAAGACATCCAAGTTGTTATTCATCCTTGATGTCAGGGAAAATATGCATAATTTCTAAGCTGAATGTGTTCAGCTTCAGGATCCAGACACCAGTTCTTGTTACGCCTTTCTCTTCTAGATTAAAGAGCACTTTAGTAGCTGTTATTTTCTTCTTGCTAAAGTGCAAAAGGGAAGGGAGGAGATGAGACAGGAAGAAGGTTAAAATGTCTGCCTAAAGCCTACCTGTCTCACAGAATGAGTGTGGCTATGTTAATGAAAGGAAGTGATGTAACTAGCAACATATCTTGCAGCTTGTAACACCATCAGAGAATGAGATCAAGCTTATTTGACTGAACTCGTATATGACAAGACTTGCACTTATCATATTCCTGTCATTTAATCTTTCATCACTTGATCATACATCATCTTTTCCCTGAAATTGTCAGACCAACTAGTCAATAGTTACCTAAGACGTCCTGTTTTTGCAAGCTAGTTGCACAAATTAAGATTACTTCAGTCTTCTCAATGCTTCTATTAATTTACTTTTGAACAGTTTTGGATACCAAGTAACCAGAAAACCCTTCAGATCTTTTAGGGCTTCTCTGCATGCAGGTGGCTAGGACTAGTAATTTTATACTTCTCATCAGTAATGTATTTTTAATGTACTTTTTTGTAAATAATGAAAAATATTTTCTCATACCAATCCTAAATAAATGCCAATAATTCATTGCAGGATAATCCCAATTATAACTGCCAAACATATGAGTCAGACAGCAGGACAGAAAGGAAGAGTTCAGAGTCTTCTCACAGCCCCAGCCCTGCTTCTCCAGCCCAGGATCAAATTCATGGGAGATACCCTACAAGCCAAGGAATTCATTGTGGCAAGAACAAATTTAAAGCGTCTTTCAGTACTGAAAAATTCAGACGGTACAGTTACGAGGAAAGTACTGTAGGAAATTATGACAGGTTTCTCAAGAGCAGCAGAAACCCCTTTCACCCTTACAAGAGACAGATCAGCGAAGATGTCTTCCAGGAAGCACATCAAGCCCTCCCACCAGAAGGTTCACACTTCAAAAATGCTAGAAACATAGATGGTTTTGAGGGTCTACCAGGATCTACAGGTCCTGACGAGTCAGAGTCATTTCCTACACACATTCCGAATATCTCCACAGAACAACCATGGTGTAACAGCCTTCAATACAGCACCACAGGTCAAGATCACAGTTCACAAGTCATGGTCAGTATTTTTTCTAATTTTTTTTTCCTGTTTTCAATGCCAAAAATATACTTTTGGAATTATTTTCTTATCTCTTGATGTGACTACATGGACATTTAGCCTCTTGTCGAGTTGCAGACTAGAGCTCAGAATAGGCATCCATATTTATTTATCAAAGTTCTCTATTTTAT